GCTGCAGGGTCGCCCCATCCTTGCAGTGTAGCACAGCACGCTGGCAGGAATGGCGGCAGGTTGGTGCTGTCCTCTGCCACTGCCTGCCCATCTCTCCCTGGCCATGTCACCCAGCCTTCACTCCCCACTGCAGCCCCTGCACCCACACAGGGACCAGGGCTGGAGAGGGGACCAAACCAAAATTACCATTAAAGTCTTTAAAAGCTCCTGGGCAAACAGGACCCCGGTTTTCACATGCTGTCCCAAACCAGAGCAGGGGCTGCACATTGCTGGGGAAAGCGGCGCAGCCCTCCTGCCTGCCCAGGCAGCCAGGGCTGGTAGTTTTGGCACTGAACAGGCACAGCATTGGCAACTCTGGCACTGGGAAGGTGGCAGTGCAGGGGATGGCAGGGGATGGCAGGGGATGGCAGGGAGGTGGTGGCAGTACAGGGGATGGCAGGGGATGGCAGGGAGGTGGTGGCAGTGCAGGGGATGGCAGGGGATGGCAGGGAGGTGGTGGCAGTACAGGGGATGGCAGGGGATGGCAGGGAGGTGGTGGCAGTACAAGGGATGGCAGGGGATGGCAGTGCTGCCTTTTGGCCAGGAGGTGCCTCCCGCGCTCCACGCTTGGTGCCGTGCCCGCTGCCACCGCGGTGTCCCCAGGACAGCCTGGCCGCCCGCTTGCTCAGAGCAGAGGGAATAGTTTTGCAGGCGCATTCATTTATTCTGTTCACCTCCCAGCTAGGCTGGCAGGGCGAGCAGCAGCAGCGGGAGCAGCGGGGAAGGGCTGCCCTCCCTGGGCTCGCTGAGTTAGCAGAGCAATTGCCAGCCTTGCAGAGATGCCGGCAGCTTGGAAGGGCCACGACTTACCAGAGAGGTGCTGGAGAAGTGCAGGGCATCACCCGGACACACACACCCCTCTGCACCTGAAACTGTCCCCCACGGCCCTCGCTGACCCACCGGCCCAGAGCTGGCAGGTTTGGTCATTTCTCCTCTCGCTACATCTGCAACCCCGGGACGGGGCACGTGCTCCTGCTGCCACCGTCCTCCTGGCTCATCTGCCAGTTGTGCAAATTTCGGGGCAGGGAGGAAATCTGCTCCAGGAGCTGGGCTTTGCACGGCCCCACCGTGGGGACCACTGCCCCTCTGCAAGAGGGGCTGACACTGTGTGTGGCATGTGTGATGTTGTCTTTCCATGTAGCCCACCATCCGAGCATGGAAGGGGCTTCAGGACATCATCCCAGCAACGCAGGTGGCTCTGACACACCCCAGGGTCCATGTCACTTTGCCGGGGGCTCAGCCCAGCAGCCCCACCACAGCCATTCACAGGCTCAGACCATTCTCCAGTCTCGCCTCTCTGTTCCCCCCAGGATAAAATGCTCTAGGGGTACCCAGGACACCCCATTGCCAGGGTATTTTGCTCTGGGGTTGTGCCCACACAGGGGGATGCAGTAGAAGGGGGGCATTTTGCAGTCCAGACTCTCTCCCTGACCACTGCCATCCCCTTGGCCACTCCTTACCTGCCCGGACATGCTGGGGCTTGTTCCAGCCCACCAGCTGGGATGGGAGCCGGACGAAGAGGCGGCCAAGGGGCCTGTCACCGACACACTCAGCTCCTGCTGCTGCCTCCATGGCCCTGAAAAAAACCACCCTGCAGTGCTCTGCAGCTTGCTTTCTGCTGGGACCTGGCCTTGACCCCGCTCAGCAAAGGCCTGGTGACACTGGAGCTGAGTCAAGGGCAGCTGGCTGCAGTGTTGGGGACAGGGTGCAGGGGTGGCTGGGATGGGGCTGCGAGAACTCCCCATCCCAGTCCAGACCAGTTTGGCAGGTTGCCTTCTCCTGACTGTGCTCCTGAAGCAGCTCCAGGGCAGCAGACCCCTGGGGGAACAGGGTGCACAGTGCAGGGTCCCCGGTGCAGAGTGGTTTATGCACCATGGGGATGCTGAGCAGGGTCCATACCCAGGGCAGTGCTGTCCTGGTGGGGAGGGGACTCGGGTTTTGGGAGTCACAAGCTGAAGGATTTGCTAGGAAGCTGCTTTCAGAGCAGCCCCAAGAGCTGCCCAGTATGTCCCATGAAGCCAGGAGAGCCATCAAGGCTGTTCCCCCACAGACCCGGCACATACCTGGCCATGTTGCACAGTCCCTGGAGATGCTTGTAGCCTGAGCTGTGCATCGCTGGCATGGCTGTAGGTCACAAGCCCCCCTAAAATGGGGGCAGTGGGGACAAATATCAGGGCACCCCCAGCATTTCATGCTGGGCAAGAGATGGCCTTGGGAAGTGGAGGCTGGAGCATGGCTTGGTCCCGCGCACCCAAGGCACTCAGCATGACCCCCTGGGGGGGGAACAGGCTCCTGGCTTGGGGAAGAGCCATTCCCAGGCTTGGGACCCTCCAGCATTCCCCACAGTGGAGCTGGGCATGGTATTTTGTGATGGAGCATCGCTGCGCTGGCAGTGAGCCCAGCACATCTCACTCAGGGACTCAGCCTGATCCTGCCTGCAGAAGGGCACATGATGTTAGCCTCAGCAGGAGACTTGTGCACTGTCCCCTTGCCGTGGGCAGAGATTTTGGGCTGTGGGGCCGGTGACATGAGGCAGGAGCATCCCTCCAAGATGTCTTATGCCCTCTGACTTATTTTCCTCCCTGGCCTTTCAAACAAGCCAAAGTTAAGAGCAATTGAATTTTGTTTATTTTTTTTTTTCCATCAGGCTCCCTTCCTGGGAGTAGTCCAATTAGTGATAACGAGCTGGATGGTAATTACAGCACAGGGCCACAGGAGGATTGATTGCTGGTGACCAGGCTGTTGCGGTCCGTGGCCCCCCCCGGCTGGCTGCCGAGGGGCCAATTAGTGGGTTTGCAACCAATGATGCTTTGCTGAGGATTTTGCATCAGCTTCTTGGCTGGAGCCAGGGCTGGTGGCACTGGGGTGTGTGTGTGTGTGTGTGTGACTGTCCCCGCATCTCCTCGGCCATCGCACCACTGGGAGAGACCTGCACGCAGGACCCCAGTCCCTCTTTCCAGACACACCCCCGCCCAAAATAATTAACTCCTTTCCAACACCCCCCCAGCCCTGCATGGGGGCACTGGTGGCTCTGGGACCCTCTGTCCTCTTTGCAGAGGGACGTGTGTTTGGGCAGCTGTGCCTCCCTGTCCCCCGGTGCCTGCTATGGCCAGGCAGAGACTCTCCTGGGGACCCCTAAGCCCTCCCCTGGTGCTGGGGAGTTTTTGCTCCAGCTCCCCATGCTCAGGGCAGCTGCAGACTTCGTGCAGCTTCCCTGGGTCCGTGGGGCAGCTGCCTGGTACGAAGAACAGCAGCCAAGTCCGGACTTTTCAGAGGTCTGTAAAAATCAGAGCTACCCTCACCCAAAACCAGCCCCAGGGCTGGGACATTTTTAGGGGCTGAAAATGCCATGGTGAAATGAGAAAACCTGTTCCAGTGGCACCTCAAGCACCCACTGCTGGCAGTCTGGGCTTGGGTGGTGTTTCCAAAAGGGACATTTTGTGCTGCAGATCCCAAGAAGGGTTGTATACTACAGCCATGTAAGGATGTGCCACTGAATAGTGTTAATTTAGCTGGGATTAAAATATACATTAATTTTGAGTAGCCTGAGGCTGGGGCATGGACAATGGTGGGAAGGAATGGTGCAGGTTCTGGGCTGGTACAGGCAGGGGGTGAACAGGCAGGAGGATGGGTGGGAGCTGGGGTCTGTGCCCAACCCGGGGCCCTGAGCAGCCAGTGCTGCACTTGCCAGGGGCAGTATGGGCTGAAACCTTTTAATTTGTGCATGCTCATCCAGCTCTTTCATGCCATCCCACAGACAGGTCTGCGTATTGCTGCCACACTCGAGGAATTTGCACCAGCACTGCTCAGGGAGCTGCAGCCAAACCAGCGTCCCCATCTCGAGGTGCTGTGGTGGTTCAGGGGTGCTGGCCTCGCACTAAAGGCTTTGCAACTCTGCAACCAGCTCCGGAGGGAGCAGAGACCTCCACGCATGGCCGGGGCTGGGTACCTTTGCAGAGGCCGGTGGGCAGCGCAGGTCTCCATGCCCCATCTCCAAACAGCTCTGCTGGCAGGCACCTACCCCCGCCAGCACTCACAGGGTTAAACTGTTGTTTGCTTTGGACACTTCACCCGAAGGAGAGATTAAAAATTAGCAAGTGAGCTATTGCTAATAGCTGGAAGTGTCCTGAGGCTAATTACTCAGCTGCGATGCATCTACCTGTTGCTCTCACGGCTACTTTGTAGGTAAACAAGAGAAAGTGCCTCTTTCCTTGGGGCTCCTCGGTGGACAAACTGGAGCTGCCTCAGCCAGGAGCAAGTGGGAAATCACAAGCTGGGAGCAGCTCAGTGTCACAGGCAGAGCTCCAGTGACAGGGACACGCCCAGCCCCCTGCTATCACAGCCCCCTGCATGGGCTGCTCTGGGGGCTGTTTGCAGAGGGGACCCTGCAGGGCTTGGCTGGGCCGAGCTGCAGCAGGGTGGTCTTTGCCGCTGGTGGCCCTTGCACTGAGCCGCCACGTGTCACCTGCGTGAGGGCAGACCAAAGCATCTGCTTCGTTAGCAATCAGGGCTCTTCTCCACCTTCGCACGGTGCCGGGGCAAATGCTGTCCCCCAAACTCACCAGCAGCCAGGACTCCCTAACTAGTCAGGACTTGCACCACCAGCACTGTTTTATCATTGATTTGACATCTGCAGTGGGCAGAGAGTAGATCCCTCACTTCACAAAGCCCAATCCTGCTCACAGCCAAGTCAGTGGCAGTTTTCTCTGTGAAATCATGAGTACTGGGGCCACAGGGTCTAAAATGCTGCTAGTGACATCAGAGAGCTACCACAATGTAACACTTCCCAGTGATATCTCGGAAAACAGGAGTGCATTGGCCAAAGGGACAGTTGCCCAGCACTCATCAGGACTGGCCCATTGGTTTCATGTGAATAATCTATCGCCTTGTCAGCATTAGGCATCTGGTCTAGGTTCACTTTCTAGTCACTGGAGAGAGACGGACATTTCTGGGGGATAATTCATTGCACTTAACTTCACACCTATTCTAGGATGGGATAAATTATTTTCTGGCGGTGCCTACCTCTCTCAACATCTGACTGGTCTTTATCAGCTTGTGAGATATTGAGTCCTGCCAACTTCCCCAGCAGTCTGAAGATCCCTTCCTGGATCTGCTTCATCTTTATGCCATAAATGAGGGGGTTGAGCATAGGAGGGACTGTCAAATAGAAATCAGCCACCAGGACTTGGACATGAGGTGCCAAGCCGAAAGAGAACATCTGCAGGTACATGGAGAGAAGGCCACCTACTTAAAACAGCAGGATGATGGAAACATGGGACCCGCAGGTCCTGAGGGCCTTGAGACGAGCCTCTTGGGACGGCAGCCTCATCACAGACCTGAGGATCATGCCATAGGAGAAGGTGATGAAGACAGAGTCTGTCCCCACCAATAGTGTTGCCACAACGAGGCTGTAGAGATCGCTGACAGATAGGTCGGCACAGGCCAGCTCCACCACGGCCATGTGCTCACAGTAGGAATGAGGGATGACTCTGGTTTTGCAGTAGGGTAAGCTGGTGAGGAGGCACATCAAAGGTGTCATGACACTGGCTGCCCTGGCCAGAGACAGCAGTCCTATCTGGATGGTCCTTGAGCTCGTTAGGGTGGTGGTGTATCTCAGAGGTTTGCAGATGGCTATATAGCGGACAAAGGACATTGCCAGGAGCACCCCTGACTCCACTGCAGTGAAAGTGTGGATGAAGAACATCTGGATGAAGCAGGCCTCAAAACCAATCTTTCTTTAGTCCAACCAGAATACACCCAACATTTTAGGAACTACAGCAGTTGAGAAGATGAGGTCGATGACAGCCAACATGGAAATGAAATAGTACATAGGCTCATGGAGGCTTTTGTCCAGCCTCACAGCAAGAAGGACCATGCTATTTCCCAGCAAGGTCATGATATACATAAAGCAGAATGGGATGGAAATCCACATGTGGAGACCTTCCAGGCCAGGGATGCCCGTCAGGAGAAAAGGCAAAGAGTTGGTGTTGGATCGGTTGTTGGTTGACATGGCGCAGGTGGGCCAAGCCACATCCTTGTTCTCATCTTTAGTTCCCTGTAACAGTGATAGAAAGGTTGGGATTTTGCTGCCATCAGTTTGATCATAAAACTGTGCACACTGCAGTTCTTAAGCATCACACAATTTTGTTGTATTTATTTGGGGAAAAACTTTCAGAACCCATTATCTATGGTCAGACTTTTAAATGGATGTTGTGGTCAGTGCTTTCCAGAGGACACATCACTGGAGAATCCTGGCTGTCCTATTGCTTGCATGGGGCCACCTATCCTTCTGCTTCTCCTTCCAGCCCCTCTGATTTACCTCTAGCTTTTGCCTTACACACATCTGTCTAAAGGCTGGCACCACGGTGTCCTGCCCTGTCATGGCTTCCAGCCACTATCGCCACTATCAGTGAACAGAAGTGAGGCAAAGTGACCCCAGGCTCTTTAGCCCTTGCCCAGCCTTCATGAACAGTTCAATGGCAGGACTTAAGGACTTGCTGCAAGGACTTGGAAGCAAGTCCTCCCTCCCTGTGCCCTGCTCAGAGAGAGGACCGGGCATATGGGTCCAGATCGCACAAGTTCCATCCTGTTGCTACTTTGGGTCATGCAGAAGCTGCACCTAGACGATGTGTCCATGGTGAAACTGGGCTGAGAGAAAATGCAGCCAGAAAAATAATGTTCCGAGCTGTCACCTGACACTAAGGGGACACAAGCATCATTGACAGCCTCTAGCTGCTAGCCACAGTCAAGGAGGGTAGAATTAAATTGGTACTACCCCTCCTCCACACTCATCTATCCATGAGACTGAAGGCCAAACTAATGCAGAATGCTGTCCTGTCAAAAACAGTGGAGGTACACCTGTTTTTTCCTCTCTGGAGCCCAATAACATGGGATTTGTTAAAGTATGATTTCCTGAAAGAAATTGCACTATTGCAGGCTTGTGGGCATCCAGAGATGGAGAACCTCCATCCCTTGATTTTTGCCTCAAGTGCTAATCATCCTCATGGTTATAACCATGTGCTTTTCTTCCCGTTTGACATTGCCTGTCTACTCCTCCCAGCCACAGCATCCTCCTCTACCTTCATATGCTTGGCCAGAGAACCCTTTATGGCAGAGCACCTTCACTGCATGAAGGTATGTACTTCCCATGACCAAGGAGTTATTCTTAATAAATTAAAGACCTGGAGCACTGCAAGTTTCTCCTCTCCACTCACCTGTTCCACTAGCTGTCTTATTGAGAGGGGTTTTTTTTTGCATATCTCCAAGATTTCAACACTTTTTTGAAAAAATATAACCTCTTCCATTTCCCTTTTATTTATGCATCCAAAATTGCACTAGCCCTCTGGGTCCCAGTGTTACCCTCTCACTGTGCTGTCAGCTACTTTCCAGAGCCTCTGTTCTCCAGGATACAGTGCTCCACTCTGAAAACCTGCCTGACTTTCCTCAGCTTATTGCAGGTGGTTCCTTTGAACGACCAAGTCTGCCAAGCTCTCTAGACTGCTCTGTGGGACTTGCCTTTCCCTGGCATTATTTGAGACACAATTTGTGCTGATTTTGGGACAACTGATGAAAGTTGTACAGAATACCTTCTAGTCTAGAGCCAGCCACTGTGGCACCCCTGCAAAAACACAAACTTTTTGTGATGATGGTTCTGACAGCTTCATTTTGAGGTCTCTTAATCATCCAGTTCTTCATCCACTTTGCTGATGCTTCACAGATGTTGCATTGTGTCAGCTGCTCACCCGAAAGCAGTGTGGTGGAGGCACATTTCTTTTAGATAACTCTGTGTACAGTACTCAAACACACACACACATGCACACGTTGATTAACTAAACTTGCTATCTCATCAGAAAATGAAATCAGGTTTGTTTGACAAGAGCTGTTTCCTGCAAAGCCACGTTGATTGCCATAATTTAATTTGATTCCAATCCTTTAATTCTTTATTGACCAAATCTCCTGTTAACTTCTTGAGCATTCTGCTGGGCATTGACGTCAGGCTAAGCGATCTGCAGCTAATCACATCATCATACTTTCTCACTAAAGTAATGGCCTGAGGAAGCATCTGCAATCACCGCAGCATGCCAGGACTCATAAAAGTTTGGCAGAACAGACCAAAGACCTCCTTGGTCAACTCAGAGATGCTTTTTCCCTTGTGCAAATTACCCAGACCTTCTGCTGTATTTGTTTTCTGTTCTTAGCAGAAGCTGTTTAACATCCTTCTCAGCTACCAATCAATTAAATTACATTAAAAAATAAAGTTCTCTGATTGCCTTTCTCTCAGGTAGGCATAGACCTCTCTTCTCCATGTAGAGGGGCAGATGCCTTCGTCTGCTTTTGTCTGATTTCTCTGCTTAACAGCTTCTAACTCCCAGCAGATCCTGACAAGCTCCCGAATTTCACTTTGTCCATGATGCTTTAGCTGTAGCTTTCAGTACTCCAGTCACTTCCCTAACCACAGCCATCCTTTTCTACAAGCATGCAGGGTAGCAGGCTTGGCCATTAGCTGAACTCATTCAAAACCTCTCCTAACTTACTCTACAGTTTCCTTGTCTAAATTCCCTCTGCCTTTGAGCTCTCTTAGCTTTGGGAAAAAGGAATTTTAATGAAAAATCAGAATTGCAGGCTGAAATGCATTGAGATCACTGTCACTGGTTCCTAGGCACCACCAACTTTTTTTCCTGTAGTTTAGTTCCTCTTTACTCCTCACAGTTAATTAGCGCTGGACACAGAACCCCTTGATTGAAGGAATGGTCCCTGCGCTCTGCTGTGACATTTTGTCTGCTTTGTCACACCTTCCAGACTGAGGTCTCCCCACCTCAACCCTCGCACCCCTTTCCTTCTCATCACAGACACCTCGGCGGCAGCAGGGATTGCCCACTGCAGCATAATGCATCCTTCAAACACACTTTCCTATGGAGATAAAACAAGGTTATTTCAGGACGGGGCACAAAGGCGAGTGCTGCCTGGCCTGGCTGCTAGCACTGTGTTTGGGACACGTGTTCACATCGAAGGCAAAGCTCCAGCTCTGGACCGTGCCCTGACCGATGAGCATGTAGGTGGTCCGGTGTGTGCCTCTGGGGCACTCGCTCCTCCTCCACAAATTGCACCATGGATGCAGGATACATCCCCAAAATAATGCTTTGTCCCGCAGCTGGGTCGGGATTCTGGGCCAGTGGGCTGCCTGCCTCCTTCACCTCTCCACCCGACCCCGACCGAGCTGCATGTGTGACATAATCCAGCCTATTTCACCAAATTGTGCCCATCAGTGAGAACCCCTGGCTGTGTGCCTACAGCTTTCTATTCAGATGCCTGCTGTTGTATGCAAGGGATTAAGAACATTATCCGTGGTTGAAAATCTAGTTTGTTTCACAGAAAATGTGTATTTAGCTAATTATTGATTAATTTATACAAACAGAAACAAGGCAACTCTCTTGCAGCAAACAATTTCTGGTTTTGGTTAAAAGGTTTGGTATTTATTTGTTTACTTTTTTAAACTGAAGTCCTATTTTTACCTAAAAAATACTTAAAAAATCAGAATTCTGCAGCCTTGGGTCTGCAGTTTCATTTAATAAGAAACTTTAAAATTTTGAAAAACTACTTGAAATAAATTTTTTCCAGCAGTTGCCTTTTTTCCTAACGAACGGACTCACACTGTGAATGCATACAGGGCAGATGCTGAAGTCCCACCAGCCACCCGTCCTTAGGCACCCGGAGCAGCCTGCCATGCCCTGACTCATGCCAGTCCTCCCGTACAGCCACCCACCTTGCCCTCTGCTTGCAGAGAGCTGCCACCCTTGGGGACACTCACGCCGAGAAATAAACATCTCCTGTGTGCGGGAGGGCAGAGCTGCACGGCTGTGCATAAATCACCCCAGGCAATGCTGCTGGGAGCCTCCTGGATGGAGATTCCCAAGAGCAGGACTCCTCTCCAGGCATCTTTTGTAATAACCTCAGCGAGGGGGCTGGACGGTAACAGCCTCAGTCCCAAGTCGATTCTCTCTCATCTAATTTCTTTTACAAATGGCAGGTGCTAGGAGATGACCAAGGGAGACATGAATAGGCTGTGCAAGTAGTCTCCAGCAGAATGAAAGACCTTGTGTTTCTGCTTGGAGCAATGCAAGTGCAGTTTCATTTCTGGCTCTGCTGAACGAGTAGCTGGAAGTCTCTACTGGCTCTCAGTGCAAAGGGCCATGCCACGGCATGAGCTGTCCTCGCCCCCAACAGACCCCCTCCCCAAGCCCCAGGCAGCATAAGGCTGAAATGTGCAAATTCAGGATAGCAAAAAATGCAAATTCAGGATAGCAGAAACATTCTGTCAACTGTTTTTTCAAGATGTCAGGGAAGAGTGCAGCAGAAAATCGGGTAAACACCACAAAGACAGGAAAAAATATTTTTGACATGAGGAATGACACATTCAAACCAGTTTTGAAACTGAATGTCTTTCAGTGAGTTTAATTTTTAAATTAATGTAGAAGTGAGGACTAAACATGACATTTTGGGTGGGATTCATCTAAACAAACACAGGTGGCAGTTGTAGACATGGTATCAGTCTATGACTGGAGCTAGTCCTCCAGATTGCCTTCATATCCATGGAGACAAACAGTGACTTTACAGCAGCATTCATCCCAACCTGAAGCTGATATCTGAAATAGGTCAGAGGAATTATGCTGCACCTGCCTTTTTCATTGCCATGACTGTAAGGGAGATGGTGATGACCGTGTGGACCTCTGCCCTGAATGTGTCTGAGAAGGATGAGAGTTGTCCCACTCCTTTGCTGTCGGAGGAGACATGCCACCTCTGTATGCTTTTATTCTGAATCCTTGTGTTAATGGAGACAGTCCCTCAACTTCATCCCTCTGCTCCTCCTCCACCCTCAGACCCAAGTGGCATCAAGGCTCCTCTCTCTGGATGAAACTCTCCCCCCCAAAGCAGAGGACCATGAGCACTGCTGAGACACAGCCATTCACCTCTGCTGAATTATCTCTATTTCATCACTTGCGTATCTTAAACATCCTAATGGGAGCTGTCACATAACCCTGGCAAAACACCCTGGGCAAATGCTCACCAGCCTGCTGCTTTTGTCCCAAAACATTGACTCTTTGTACTTTAGGTGTTA